GCTTTTGTCACGTAAGTCCTAGGATGAGTCTAACCTCCAAGGGATTTCCACTGGGCCTGGCGCCTGCTTTCCAAGTTGGCTCAGGCGTGGTTGACCTCATGATGGACTTGGATTCTCTTGTTCGGGCCCTTGTGGATCGCTCTTGAGCCCTGGGTAGAGTCCGACCTCCACGGGATTACCACTAGGCTCGATGCCTGCTATCCAGATTGGCTCAGACGTGGTCAACCTCATAGTAGATTTGGATCTCCCTGCTGAGACTTTTATGCCTTCCTCTATAATCCTTTGTCTGGGCTAGGACAAAATTAAGTATACATATCTGTATCTGGGTTATGGGTTAGGCCCATAGTACCATCACTAATTTTGATCCTTCATCCAGCTAAGACTTTCTCAGATACTCAACATCATAACTTTTATAACTTTCATGAAAGAAAGATGTGCCTCATCTTTCAGAAATCACGGGACTGATCAAACAAGAATTGAGCGTACGTGTCTACTCTTTTCTACACTAACGTATTTGGGATGAATCTTATTTATCACACAGATCCAGCCAGAATGTGCGCTAGCTTAGGAATTGTATGTGATCCAATGTACATCATCCTTTACAACTCCTGGAACCACCTGGCAAAGAATTGAGCATACGTACACACTTATTCTTTCTTTTTTGCAGTAGCGTAACGTACTTGCGATAAATCTTATTTATCACCCAGATCTACTCTAAACGGCACTAGCTTAGGAATTGTATGTGCACTCATATAACTTTTATAATAGAAAGACGCACATCATCTTCAAAACTACCAAAAACGTCTTAAAAAGAATTGAGCACATGTGTCTATTCCTTTCTGCAATATGATGAATCTTATATCGCCGAGATCTACCATAAATGTGCACTATGCAAGACTAAAATAAACTAATCACATGGTTACCATACAGTAGTGCTATAGCGATCTTTTCAGTATCTGTTACGATACTACTGACAAATTTTTCTTAATTAAACGTAACATATTTCATTAATACAAGACTAAAACTATTGACCCAAGGTTAACATTAACTTAATGTAAAAAGAGTTGGGCTTTTCTTTAATATTTACTATTGAAATTGAGTATTGACCATTGTTGGGGTTCTTCGTAGGGGGTGATAATCGAGTACTTGGATAGCTGAAGGATCATGTAAATTCATTTTCTGAATTGATATTTCTCTCATATGTCTGGGTTATAGGAAATTTAATCTTGGATCATTTTTAAGGACATTACAGAATCTAGGCACAGATTCTAGAACACAAACTAGTGATTATATGAATTGTTTTCTTTTGATTTGAATGTCAAAGTGATGAAGATATGTGCCCACCGGGACATAAAAAAGTGATGAAGATATGTTGTGCTACACTCCTCTAAACGAATTATGGAGATGTATATCTGTTTGAACCATTGTATGCAATTAAAATCCGTTTAGACTTAACTTTGGCCGCATTTTCTGAAAAATTGCATGAAACTACCTTAACCGCTCTAGACCTGGGTCTATAGAACCATAGAGCTAGTCTACTTAGAGTTCTACCTTGATTTCCACTGTCATAGATACTTGGGATAAAACTTGTTCTTATATACAAGTGTACACTTCACCCCACTAAACTTGCTTGTATTAGATCATAGTTGCAATCACCATTGTCACTCATGTCATTTCCAATTATAGAAAATTGCCGGTGATACTAAAATCACCGACAATCATTTTGTGGGTGTGCAACCATAGGAGTATTTTAATTTTCATAGGCTTTTGAAGGATCTCTTAAACCATACAAAACTGGCAAGGGGACTTATGTAATTGCTTTGTTTCTATCAGATTATTTGTCCTTGGTTTAGTGACTAAATATTAAGTTAATTCGGGTTATTCTAGTGTTTAATTTGACATATGTTTCGGTATATTCATTATCTTTTCCTTTTAATTCTACAACAATATCTACTATTTCTAATTTGGAAGCCATATATACGAAGAATGATCGTTAATGCAGTTATATGTGAAATACTCACTGTTGGTAGAAAATATTCCGGGTAGAGAAACTAGCAGCATTTCAATATAGTAAAATAGCGTTTCTAATACGTGGGGGTGATGGCCTATTTATAGGAATCCATCACAAGTCCAAAGTCTAATCTATGTGGGCTTGGTCCAAATTAATAATACATCTCGAAGCTAACGGGTCAACCGGCCCGATAAATAAGTAAATAATATTGGACTAATATTCATTAACCAAATGGTGTTCTGAGCTTGGTCGAGCCAAAGCTTGGGAGTAATGGGCCGATAGTCTCGAACCCGGCCCATTATCCCAATACTGACAATATCAATTTTTTACATGAATGTATACACACGCATATAATAGTGATATTTTATACCAAATTGAATGTTACATTTCGCTTGTTTTTGCTTTGAGATGGTTTTTTAGGGAAATTATCATTGACCTACCTCGAGGTTTCACGTATTATCACCCAGGCCCCTGCACTATTAAAAATATACGCTTACCCCCCTTCCTATCCTTTAATGGAAGTTTAATAACTCTTAATTACGTTTAGAATAAGTATAAATTTAGTTTTATAAATTTACTCACTTGCAAATTTAATTCGATAATTAATAAATTTATCTGTATTAAGAATCTTTCCACGAGAAAGCACTTTTTTTATGCAACATGTACTTTCCAATGAAATAACCCTTATTATTGACAAATTTATTATGTATATAACCACATCTACATGTGAGTATAATTATAGGACTAGTAGCAGACACAATCGAAAAGTATGAGCTTAAAACAATAAGAGCTCGTTTGGTAACAATGAAATCGGTTGAATCGGCTAATTCTACTAAAATTTATAAAGTTCTGACTGAAGTGTCCGTATTGGCCAATTCTGCTGATTTATGAAAAAATTATATTTAAAATATATTTAATTAATAAAATAAAGAAAAAATTAAATGAAAAATAGCTAAACTGTCATCTATAGTAAATTCGGCCAATACAGACAGAAAAGTTACACCAACTTTACTTTTTCTTATTTTTACATAGTTCAACGCGCGAAAGCATAAATTAATGTTTGGTTAAAAAGTTGCTCATAAGCCTGATAATTTGAAAATCAAAGTCACCAAATGGGCTCTAAATCTCTCTTACTTTTAAAAGTTCGAAAATATATCTGAGATTGTAGAAATCTTGGTGAAACTTTTCTAACGAGGGAAAAACGCCAATTAACGCACGAGGAATGTTATTTCATACCTAAATTAGATGTTGGTGAAAGACTTTTAAGATACTATTGTTACCTATTGTAAATTTGCAACTGAAATACTTACTTTTGTGGTTCATATTACGGGAGGACAAGACCCGATCTCGGGAATGACCAATTTTTGAATTAAAATTTTAGGTCGGGACCGAACCTAGACCAATTAGAAGATTGGAACCGAAGATAATGTCATAGGCCGCTCTAATTATTTAGCACTAACCAGTTTGGGTGTGCAAGCCGTCTTAAACTATAATGTCTTTACCAGCAATTTACATGTAAACATTTTCATATTTTGTAAAATATTAAATTACAAGTTATTATTATACCTATATGACCTCATTTCTTGTGATAACAAAGAGTGTCTAGAGTGCATTCAATTTTTAATGGTAATATCGAGTAGTAAACTTCACTTTTGAGTCGGTTTGATTCATTTAAGTTGATTTGTTTTGATTTTTGACAAATTTAGCATATTTTGATCATTTTCAATGGAGTAAATTTACTCACTTTACGGCATAAAACGAACTACCTAGAGAGTGACGGCAGTTTTGGTCATTTTTTTGTTTTGTTCGACTTCCGATAAAAAGGTCTATAGTATGGACAAATTTATTAATTACCCGACCAGATTTGTGATTGAATAAAATTCAAGTATTAAAAGCGGACATAACAAAGAATTATGGAATTATATCTATCATTTTCTCTAAATATAGATTAAAAGTTATTTAACCATTATTAAAGGATAGGGAGGGGGTAAGAGTATATTTTTTATAGTATAGGGGTGTGATTGATAATGCATCAAACTTCAAGGGAGGTCAATGATAATTTCCCTTTTTTATTTAGTCTCGACGGTATTTATGATTTAAACTAGAATTGAACTGATATGATCTAATAATTGTTTTTGTGTATTTAGTGTTGCCTAAGACAGATCTTGTCTAGCCTAATCTGATTTGTTTATTTATTAAAATTTGATCAAATTTGATCTGATTGGATTAACTCTCCGACCAAATCAAAATCGGTCCAAAGTTAAATCACTTATTAAATAATTACATAAGCTTAAAACGTAGCTAGTTATAAGTTTGTATTATAACGATGAGGAGGTAATAACCAATCATGGCATTACTAATTACTATACCCAAGTTAGACAACTAAAATGACTGCTTAGTATAGTTTAATATCATTGCCATGTCAACTATTAGTTTTATTCACTATTAAAGAGAGCAAGAAACCATTAAGTAGTTATTTACGTAGAATATGTGAGATACCATGTAAGCACATAGGGAGCATGTTTTTTGGATCTTGTTTTTTGAGTATGTTCTAAAGGTCCAATTAACTAGTGCTATTATTATTTATCTTTAATTGTATTTTTATAATTAATTATTGATATCCAGAATATGATTATTCCAAATATCCACTTCAATTTCATTAATATTTCGGGAAGAACCCTCACTTCTTACATAGTATGAGAGCACATTGGTTGAGTTGTGGTTTGATTTGTGTTTTACACACATGATTAAGAGTAGCTTGTTTTAGGATAGTTTGGCTCAAATGTTTGCGCTCATTTAATTCATCCTATTTTGAGTTGACGGGGTATGTTAAAAGTGTTTGTTCCACACATCCTAACATAATATCAGAGCCAATAAATCTTATTTTGTTTTATTGTGTGTTTGTCACTAATTATTTAATATAATTTGCTATAGTTCTACTTGGACTATTTGTTAACCTTTCATTTTGTTTAACTTGATTTGAACCAAGGGTGCGTGTTGATGTATTTGTGTCCCACCGAATTGATAGTTAAAGCAGAATATACGGAGGAGGAGTGCAAAACGGGTGCTCAACGAGGAGGAGTGTCCTCATGAAGTGAGAAGTACTAATAAAGATACGTCGCCGTTACTACATGAACGTCTTAGAGCAGTATCAAATGATGCGAAACAGGTGCTCAACGAGGAGGTCATGAGTAGACGATCCACAGAGTTAAGCCAAGAGTTGACTCTTCTTGACCTTAGTGATAATAAGCATATGAGTTGGGAGGAATTCAACGAGAAAGTTATTACACTAAAGGCTTCCTTTGCTCAAACATGTGTATTTTTTTTGAATAGTGCAAGCAAGGATGATCTAAAGAAGTTAAAGGGCATAGGAGATAAGACGGCTGCATACATTGTGGAGCTTCGTAAAAAATCTCCACGTTATTTTAGATCACTATCAGATTTGCAAAAGCATGGCCCCCTATTCAGCATTGGTGGTAGATCTCATGGTCAAATATTTTGTCACTGATCTTCTCTGCCAACTACCATAAGCACTAATATTATACCCGTGTGATGCACAATTTTAAAAGAAGATATGTATGAGCATTTTTGTAAGTCCCTTCTGTTACAAAAGATTTTCATATCCTCCCTTGCTTGCACATTATCTTTTGTCTTTGCAGTTAAGGGTGGTCGTTGAAGCTCACTATGGGGAATCTTTTCTTCCGAGTGTTTTGGCACCTGCTTCAAATGCACAAATTATTCGGGAGCAGCATAATAGGGTAATGAGTATAAAGAGAGCAAAAAACCATTAAGTAGTTATTTACGTAGAATATGCAAGAAACCATGTAAGCACATATGGAGCATGTTTTTTAGATCTTTCTTTTTTGAGTATGTTCTAAAGGTCCAATTAACTAGTGCTATTATTCTTTGATTGTATTTTTATAATTAATTATTGATATTTAGAATATGATTATTCCAAATATCCACCTCAATTTCATTGATATTTTGGGAAGAATCCTCATTTCTTACATAGTATCAGAGCACATTGGTTGAGTTGTGGTTTGATTTGTGTTTTACACACATGATTAAGAGTAACTTGTTTTAGGATAGTTTGGCTCAAATGTTCGCGCTCATTTCATTCATTCTATTTTGAGTTGACGAGATGTATTAAAAGTATTAGATCCACACATCCTAACATAGTATGAGAGCCAATAAGCCTTATTTTATTTTATTGTGTGTTTGTCACTAATGATTTAATATAGTTTGCTTTACTTCTACTTGGACTATTTGTGAACCTTTCATTTTGTTTAACTTGATTTGAATCAAGGGTGCGTGTTGATGTATTTGTGTCCCACCGAATTGATAGTTAAAGCAGAATATAAGGAGGAGGAGTGCAAAACGGGTTCTCAACGAAGAGGAGTGTCCTTAAGAAGTGAGAAGTACTAATACAGATACGTCGCCGTTACTACATGAACGTCTTAGAGCAGTATCAAATGATGCAAAACAGGTGCCTAACAAGGAGGTCATGGGCTGACGATCCACAAAGTTAAGCCAAGAGTTGACTCTTCTTGACCTTAGTGATAATAAGCATATGAGTTGGGAGGAATTCAATGAGAAAGTTATTACACTAAAGGTTTCCTTTGCTCAAATATGTGTAATTTATTTGAATAGTGCAAGCAAGGATGATCTAAAGAAGTTAAAGGGTATAGGAGATAAGACGGCTGCATACATTGTGGAGCTTCGTCAAAAATCTCCTCATTATTTTAGATCACTATCAGATTTGCAAAATCTCCATTTGAAGATGCAATCCAGTATTCCTGCCCACCAAATGGAGAAGAACCATACTTGGGACTGGATAACTACGGAGTTGTTGAAGCCTGTCGCACAAATGGATCTTCTAGAGTCACACATGTACTTGTGTTGGTGGGAAGATATGAAGCCGACGAGGGCGATCAATATGGGTTATCTCTTGGAACATATTGGATATATCAGAATCCCCCACCATAGGAAACCCAAACGTTGTCAAAAGTATGCTCTTAAATGGTTATAGTAATTTGCACTAAGCACAGAATGCAAACTTCATAATTTATTAATCCGATTGTAATTATAAGTGAAATTAATTGTTTTCAAAAAATGTTAATTGGAGATAGAGTCCATGTTTCTTCTTTCAATAAATTAACCTAACATTAATTAGAATAAAGAGGCACTACTAGAAATTCCACAATTGGTGGCTGCGGTTGTAGTGAATAAGGAAATGATTTACAATTAGGAAGTTTTGGTTGACATTAGATTGAATGACATCATTGATATTAATGCACTGATGAACAAACGGATATTAATAAACGGATATTAATAATGATACATGAACAAATTTCATAAACTAACTTTTTGTAGTTAATTAATTGAAATATTTCCAAGTATATAGTTAGAATAAAAGTAGTGGAAAAAAATTGTGACTCTACTAACTTTAGTGACTATTATTCTATTCAAATATTAAATTGTAATGGCTATAAATCTTACCAGTAACTTAAGATGTTTTTACTTGGACTGTTTTCAGTTTCAGACTAGACCAGATCAAACCAGACTTGTATAGTTATAAATTACACAGAGACCAGATGTTTACTAAACATGACCAGACCAGTTCAGACCAAACCAAATCATACTAGACCAGAAAATTTCAGTCCAAGTAAAAACATCCTTATAGTTACATTTTTGTCCATAAATCTTCTACTAGTAATATTTTAGGAAAACCTCAAATTAATTATGTGTAAAATGAAAAGTAATGATACTACTATAATGGTTTGTTAAGTGATTTTTAAGGGAAATTACCCAAAATAGAAGTAAATGAGGTTTGGAATTCCAAAATAGGACTAAAATGTTTTTCTTCCTGAAATAGGAGTTGTTACTACCATGTTTGAAAAATACTGTCATAATTGAAAAATAGTGTCATTAATTATAATTAATACTGTCATGTTAAATGCATTGTACTGCAACTATTTGACAGTCACGCTTACATGTTAGTCCTATTTCGGTAATAAAAACATAGTAGTCCTAGTTTGGAATTTCAAACTCCATTTACTCCTATTTTGGGAAATCTCCCTTTTTTAAATATACTCTAATTATTAATAGTAGAAAGATGCATTACTATAAAAAATAGTAGCGAAAGGAAGGAGGCCAGAGGTAGGCTATTCTCTTCGAGGTTGGGAAGCGACAAACATCATTGGGCAGAGAAATGTCCGACTGGGTCGAGAAAGGCGACCGTGGAGCCATGGCGGCTAGGGCTGAGAGTTCGATGACTGGCTTGGCTATTTTGGCTCTGATGGTGTATGAGATGGGAGTTGCACCAATGGTGTTCCATCCGGGTGGAACGTTGGCGGTATGGATCCCGATCAAAGGGGGAGAATTTGGACACGAATCAGCCGTTGGGGGGTTGACGTGGTTGTTATGGCCACTTCAAGAGGTGGATGAAGAAGATAGTGTGTGTATGATTCGTTCCCCTCCTGAACCGCCGCCACATAGGAGTTACGCAACTAGGGCTTGGAAGACGGTGATGCAGCTGAAATTTATTTATTTTTGCTATGTTTTGTTTGTTAAAATTTATTTTGTGGTCATTAGGTCAAATAATAAGGGTGGTAGTTTCTTAGTTTTGGTTACCTTAGTGGTTAGACTTTTGTTGAGGGGCAATCAGGCTGATTCAACCGCTAATAGCCTCAAAACTCTCACATTTTCAGCGGTTAGTCTCGCTCTTTTTGGGGTGAACTACGTACTGATAAAGAAGTGAGAGGGCCGGTGGGCTTCGGGTTATGTTTGTTTAGAGGAAGGGTAGTGTCTGGTGGTTACGTTTATTGTTTGCAATTTCTCTTGTTTGTACTGCAAATTTGGAATTAATATAATATTGCTAGTTTTCCTTTCGAAAATGTCGTTGACACGGATATGCTAAATCATCTATTAATTTTAGTAAATCAATAACAAAGATCCCTTTCAATCCCATTATTTTTTGGTAGTGAAGATTCATTAGACATTTCATATAAAACCATAAAGGTAGGGCTTGGTACGGTCCGCTTTTGGAGTCGAGGCAAATTATAATAAGAGATGACAAGGGCCAAAGAAGTTACTCGTATTATTCCGGGGGCTAAACATGTCATTTTTCTTTCCCTCTCTATCTAGGTAGAAGAGTTATTTTGAGACAAAGCTATTATTGAAGTACACGGTTTTGTTTATATGCACTCTCTTTCAGTCTCCATAGCCTTAGTTTTTTTATACGTAGAGTTTGATTTTTGTACCTGTTCACCTTGAGTTTGTGTAATTGCTTCAAAATTGGAAAATAGCTTAAAAGAACTTGTATGTGGAATATTCAGTTTTGGAGTAATTTAATGTGCATAATTTATTTCTAAAGGTGATAACTTCGGTACCTTAAGGGTACCATAGAATCTACTATTCCTAAAAATGTCTAAACGGCATTTGTTACTTGGGAAAAGTGAACTTCCTTGATACTTACAAAATATGCAAGAATTCTTTAAGTGTACTAGGTGTTAGAAATATATTGTTTTCGTAATTTCGTACACTAAAATTGCTTATTACTGCATATTTATCCTAAACTACGTATGAGCTTACCTTTTGGTTTCTAAATGATGGACGAGTAAAATAAGGCATGCTACATTGGGCACTAGTTATTCATTTGTTTTATTGCTTATAGATCGAAATAGTTTAGCTTTTCGTGCCACACTGTTTTTGGCAGGGATTTGACATATCCCTGCCAATTTCGGGAAACCCCCGCCAATCCCGTACGTTTTTGTAGTGACCGCCAATAAACATGTATCTCCATAAATTACGAGAAAAAATATGCAACTTTCTCCAACAAAAAAATCTCTCCAACAAAAAAATCCGAACACATGATATACTATGCAGTACATCGTATGAAACTTTTTTAAAAAATGAATATCTGAATAAACACAAGATGCACTCCTTCAACACCACTGATGCAGCAGTTGAGGGAGAAGGCTGAATAAACACAAGATTTCTTCCTTAGAGCAATGGCGATCCATTTTCTCCATTAGCACCGTCTTCTCATCTATGCACAAAGCTTGACCCCTTTCACCACCGTCTCTGTCGTCGAGTTCCGATACCGTTTCCATAATCTCTTCAACAACATCAACGATGACGCCCTCAACGCCCATATTGCGTTGCATGTACACAACCTCACCCACATTACTACACAAATGCATTCATAAGGTGATGTTCAATTCCCAGATGCTAAAGTTCCATAAGGATGATTAAAGAATTAACTGTAGAAGATTGATGCCCATGGGCTACATAAGAAATCAGATGCCAACAAATAAGATTTGGAACTATTCAGGTGCAAGTTGTGTAGTTGTATTGGATCTCCTAGTGATAAATTTTTTTGGCATATCCGAACTTGAATAACAAAATTATACTGTACAAGTAGTACAATGTACTGACGTACGTACTGTCTTCCAAATATTTATGTCTCTCTCCTGCGGTACGTTGTTATGTAAAAAAAGAAAGAATTATGTTGAGGGCTGTTTTTAATAGGATTGAGATTTTCTAGGCTGATTGTTTGATCTAATGTATGCTTATTTTACAACTATCAACCTCTTTTTTGGTCTAATCAGGTCTGTACGGTGACAATTGTACATTTGGTGACATTTTAGCGATTTAAATGAAATTCGCGTCTAAATGAGCATTAATACACTTTTAGTGAGAATCAGACATATTTTGTTGAGCATTAGGAGTTTAACAATGAGTATCGTGATGTCTGCTTTATATCTTCGAATTCACTTTCTTTTTCTTCTTTTTTCTTTTATAAAAACTTATTAGACCAAAATCTACCAACCAGATCAGAACTTGGACATAATTACAAAAAAAAATCTACCAACCGCAGATCAGAACATAGACTTAATTACAAAAATGTTGGCGGTACCATGCTCTTTGGTAGAGCCGGCTGTACCAAAATTCTCCAGACGTCTCAAAATGAATATCTTATTTATCTTTTTCGATTAACTAAAAATAAATGTTTTCTATCTTTTTTGTGAGAAAATGTGATTCAAGTCAGTTTTCTTTTTCCTACTCAAATCTTGATTCTAATGTTGACTTAATTATAGACGCAAGGATAAAATTTTGCAATATTTTCAACTTGGTTTATACTCATGAGTTTTAATTTGTAACCCTTATTTGAAGCTTTGTTAATTTACGGAAAAGGAACAAATAGGTCTTTTAGTCTTTGGAATTAGTTTTGTATTATGCCTAGAAAACCTTCTAGGTTTTCTTCAATGTAATACCTTCAAAGTTTACCCTTAATTCACTAATGTAAAACTCGTACCTTTAAAATTTTGTTCGATGTAATGCATTTGTAGTTAATAATTAGTATAATAATGTGCTTTTTAGCAACAAACAGGTTAATGATTAGTATAATAAAACAAGAACATAAAACATAGTCAAATAGGAAAAGCATACTCTTAATGATAGTATTTGATATACCATCATATGACTAGCCCTGACTAGTCATGTTACCAACCCAATCTATATCCATGGGATGAGCCTTATGGAAAAATTGCAGTTTTTGTCATGCCTATGAGACATGACACCACTTCTTATGATGAAATTAATTCATGATTAATTTAATTGCAACATTGGACTTTTTGCACTATTCACATATTCTAATTTAACTATATTTTATTAATTAATGTATTATAGATTAAATTTTTAAAAAATATTGTGAAATTCTTCTGATCCTAAATTTTCAAAATATGAATTTTTTAAATTTTGTACTAATAGGTAATGAAAGATTAATGGTCAAACTTTTACGTTGAGAAACGTGAAATGTTGACTGTCGCAATTAAAAGAAAATGGAGGAAGTAATAAAATATGAGACGACTTACTTGAGCTGACCATATGTTATGAGAGAAAGATGGGAGTCTTTAATTTTGGTAATTGCACCAGGATTTCTCAGTATGGCTTTCACCTCTGAGACAATTCCTTGGAGCCCCCCTGCCAAACACAGCTTTACCGCCTCTTCTAATGAGTTTCTTCTCGAGTCTGAGTGCAGTTCATTTCCTCCATTGCTTAGGAAGAAAACCTGTTGAGAAATGACTCAAAAGCGTTTATTAATTGAAATCAGAATAAAGGTCTTTTCGGGTGACATTTTACACTAAATTCTTTCAATGTAAAATCGACGTTACTATCAAATTTGGGGTGAATCGGAGCCTATCATACCCTCATTTACTAAAGAAAATGTATGGAGCACGTCAACGTGCTCATTGCGGTGCACTTTGACGTGAAAATGGTTAAGATTCTGTGAAAACTTTAGATGAACAAATTCTTACCACTTTCCACGCCTGTGTTCAATTCAATATGGAGCATGTTCACGTGCTCAATATATGACGGATAGTGTACCCTGAAGGTAGCTTATCCGAGGGATATTATAAGTTAGAGAGAGAGTAGGTGTGTATTATCAATGAACTCGAGATTCAGATCTGTGATCCTTTACAATGACGAAGTGACTAGCTATTTATAGCTGCCATAAATGCGGTGTAATTAATGAGAGTACACGTGACAAGTAACCAGCGGTGGAGAGTCAACTCAGCTAGGCACAATATGTGGCACCAGCATAGCATGTGACATCGCATTTAATGTGTTGATTTAGAGCATGTGAAGAGGAGATCCTGTCGAGGAGAGTGCCCTCGGCTACATGCACCCAGGGGATGCATGTGCCGAAAGCCATGTTGCCATTTGGGCCCTGGTGACGTGCTGGGGATGTACGTAGCTAGGGAGGACCTCATGTGCTAAAGGACGTATGTCCCATGGGGCCGTACGTAGTTGGGGAGGACTTCATGTGCAGGAGGACGTACGTCCTCAGGGGGCGTCATGTTGTGAAGGACGTACGTCCCCAAAGGGCCGTCATGTGGTGAAGGATGTACGTCCCCAAAGGGTCGTCATGTGGTGAAAAACATACGTCCCCAAAGGCCGGGCTGTCATGTGGTGAAGGACGTACATCCCCAAAGGGTCGTACGTAGCTGGAGCTCTTCATTTATTAGAGGTCGTACGTACCCAGGGCTCTTCATGTGTTAGAGGCCGTACGTAGCCAAGGCTCTTCATGTGTTATAGGGCGTACGTACCCAAGGCTCTTCATGTGTTAGAGGCCGTACGTACCCAAGGCTCTTCAAGTGTTTAAAGGCCGCACATCCCCTTGTGGCATCAATGTGCCTGGAAGACTGTTGCTGGAAGTACGTCCCTTAGGACGTACGTACTCCAGGACTCTTTTGTGTTGAAGGTCGTACGTCTCCTACACTTTGTTGTAGTATGGGTTGCCTGGAATCTTGTTCGCTGTACTTGGGCCACCAGGGCCTATTGGGCCGGATGGTAGCAGTGGAAGTATGTGAACCGGGAGTTCCTAGGCCATATACTCCATCATTATATTTTCTCCTGTTCACTATGTCTCTAATCACAAACGCTATTTAAAAAAAGATGTCACTCCATCCTTGAGTGCCACCAGAACCGACCAGTTAGGTATCTGGAAGATTGTAAGTTGAGCTTAAATCACACTCTGATGGAAAGAGAGTGAGATTTCATCCCAGGTCATTGCATGGAGTTGAATCCGAGACCCCTCTCTTGTGACACCCTCTCGCTACTCCCGCAGTATCACAAGCACTATTTTAAGAACCATCGGAGGGTCAAGGTTAAAATACTTACAGGGTAGAGATTTTGTAGCTTGCGGATTAATAGGGCTGCATCAGGATGAAAAGTTGAAAACATTATCACTCTCTCTTTAGCATCATCCAATACAACCTGTTTCATATTAACTTGTTGTCATAGCAAATAATAATTCAGTATGGACGGCTATAAGACTACGACACGTTTGGAAACGTTAAAAATTGGTTATAATAATTGAATTTGTTAAAATAATGACTAAAATGATTGATAATTTCATCTGCTGCATAACATACGGAGTATAAAAATCAGTAGTATAGTTGGTTCAAACACAAATATATCTTCCAACTAGGAAGTAGGAACCTATTTGGTATATCCAAATTGGTTGATGAGGCTTGAAAGATTTTAAAAAGCATTAAACACTGTCACAACCTCCGTACTACTATGATTGTCCCATTTTACCTTATCGGTCCGTCCTACTAAGATTGTCTCATACTAAATTTGGTAAAGTTTGTGCAGTGTGGCTCTAAATCATTCTTACTTTATCAATTCAATATAAAACACATAAACCACTTTTTATTAATTTGTGTGTCACTCCCTCTTGTCTCATGGTTAGCGGGATAGAGGGAGTACACTTTTTGAACAATGCATACATGGATAATTGTTGACTTTTTCTTAACAGAGAGATTATATACACAAACAATTAGGAAGTCTACACAAAATATGCACACTTATGACTAATACGACTGATATGACTAATATGGCTTTCAAGTATAAAAAATCACCTCAAACTCAACATATTTAATGACTGTTGTAAGAAAATGAGACTTTTGCCTTGGTTTTTGTATTTCCCTTATAAACATATACACCATATCTATTTAGGTAATTACATAATCCTATTTAATTAGTCATTTCTCCTAAATAAATCTCAAAATACTTTTTGTTCAACAATTTCATCACAATCAGTCAAATCTCGCCGTTCAACTATTCACCAAAGAGAGCCTAGATTTCAGAGAACATAGATACTCCTCATCTATATTGTTGACTCCAAAAGTCTATCAAAACTACCTGTATCTAAAAATACACGTTGTTGAATCTGACATCAATTTTGCAATTCCAAAAACAAAAACCGTACTCATCAAATTTGACAAACTCATTCAAAGAAAGAATGAAAAAGATGTTTGACCCAACATATTTAACATACTAATATACCATTAATACCCCAAGTACTAATTTCGTAAGCTTTTTGTACTTTAAACAGATAAGGATACTTGTAGGATACATTTCCCCTTAGCCAAGAATTATAATTCTACGTATCAAGTCAAAAAACATGGATGAACTCATGAAAGTGACGACTTTTTTTAATTAAAAATCAATAATCTCGGCCAAAAAGATGAGTAACTCCATGTTTTTGGTATTAGGAGTATTAATCAATGAAGTCATGAATCAAGTTTTTGGTAAAAAAAAAGAGATATTGCCTCCGTATTTAAAAGTTTGTTACACTTCCATATTTGATTATATTTAAAAGTTTGCTATATTTTTCTTTTTGATAAGATTTTCCTTTAAAAATATCCAATTACCTTACTTATTCTACGTTTTATCTTGGCTTTCTTACTTTTTCACTTTCTCTTATACTTATTGACGGGGTAAAGTCGTTCCTTTAAGTCTGACATGAGGAGTGTCCAAATGTGATGTAAAAATGTATAGTTTGTGTGAATTTGGTCCACTTAAAAGGTTAGTGTCTTGTCTGAACTTCTTAAATAACCCTAGTGTCGTTTTTTAGCCGTATGCCTTTAAAAGTTTGCTATACTTTTCTTTTTTGGTAAGAGTTTCCTTTAAAAATATCCAATTACCTTACTTTTTCTACGTTTTATCTTCTCCTTCTTACTTTTTCATTTTTTCTCATACTTTTTCTATACCATTCATTACCCTACTATTTTCCCCCTTAAATATTGTGCAAAGACCTAAAATTCATAGATATAAATTAAACAACACATTTTCTACTTAGTTAAGATAAAAAAAACTGATTCATACCTGCATGATCACTTGAATAACTCTTACAAGCTCTGCTTCTGTGTAAACTCTGTTGTTGTCGAACTTCAGTTCAATGTTAAAGCCTAAGGAGTCATTAACGCTCTGAAATACATCTTTCAGTATGCATAGATGATCATCATCTTCAACAGCCCATTCAAAGATTGTCCCTCCTTTCGTTTTTCGATATATCGGCTTTCCAACCTGTTTTAAATTATTAGTTATTAAAAAAAACTTTTCAGACAAATTGCATTTTTATAATCATACTTGAATTTAAATGATTTTAGATACAATAATGTTTGTTCACTTTTTAAGGGACACATATACGTACTCTATTGCTCTTGAACTATACGCGTATATTAGAAAACGTTGAACTTTTATTTGGAACAATTAAATAAAAGTGGTAAAGATAGAACAAATATACCCCTATGTCCATTTAGTTAAGAGTATCCATGTTAAGTAGTATGCATGTTCTCTGATATATAATTCAAGGGTAAATATGTTTCAAAAATAAACAATTTGTGTTTAGTTGTTCCAAAATGAGGTTGAATGATATATTTGCTCTCATACCTAAGGTTCAAGGGCATATTTGTTCTTTCTCCTGACAAAATTAATAATTTATGGTACACTTTTATTAGGCTAAAAAATATATTACCAATCAAATATTACCAAAATGAGAAGTTGTTTTTTGTACGAATGTGTACAAAAAATGTGCAAATGGCTTTTTCCAGATCTTAATTGCGTGAGGGAGAAAAAAAAAGATGACACCACATTCTTTAGGACCCCCAACATCGACCGGACAGTTAAATGTGAGGATGTAAATTGATCTTTAATCACAAACTGGCTGACATATAGAGAGTGAAAATTGAGTGAGGGAGCTAGTATTCATTACGAACATTTTCTGCACTCCTTTGGGGTCCATAGGAAAGGAACTCATCCAAACTGAGATCTGTAACTCTCTTCTCAGTGATTAAGCCCTGAAAAATAAACAAGAGATGTCGGAATAATATATAAGTATATTAATGCATATAGATGATTAACATGAATAGGGTGATAATTAAAGATGGATTAGATGAGCAGTAAACTGAGATCTTTACCTTTTCTTCGGTAAAGAGGAAGACATCATGGAAAATTACCGGAAAACCATCCTTTGTCACCTACAATAACATTTATTTATTTAAAAAAACTATAGATTCACTTCTCATGTCACGTACAGTCCCTAAAACAAATTCATTTTGAATATTTAAATCATTCTTAATCTTTTACTTTGTAGATCAAACTGTTATTAAATTTGAACTAATTTTTGCGACTTGTAAAATTTTTAATATAGTTTCTGAATGTGTAAATTTTATTTACTAAAAATCAATTAAATATGACAGAAATTTTTTGTGTTAATATCTAACCACGGGCCTTGACTGAACTGATCTAATTAAATATCTAACCACTTGTATTAATTATTTAATCAAATAAGAATGAGATTTCAAGAGAAATCAGGGTATAGTGTATACCTACCCTCAATAAATTAAAATATCAATCATATTTATAAAAATATTGACGTATTCACTCCGTTCAACTTCTTTATGCAATGCAAGAGAATTAATACTGTCACTATCGATATTGTTTTTACATATCAGGTCAATAATCATTATTAATAGGGAAAATGGAAACTAATAATCCAATCTTTTAGCGATCTTTCTTACAATAATCTCACCTTTTCATTATTCATGAATAACCCAACATTTGCACCTCATCTTCACTCACCGGTTCCTGACCGGTTTATGACCTTTTATTCTAGGTTATTTTCTTATCTTTGCAAAACATTATGTGATCATAAGGTGAGAATTATGTTATAATGTTTTACAAAGATAAAAAAATAACTTGAAATAACCGGTCATAAGTTGGTCAGGAACTAGTGAATGAAGATAAAGTGTAAAGGTTAGATTATTCATGAATAATGAAAATGTAGGACTATGGTAAGAAAACCGCTAAAAGGTTGATTTTTTTTTTCATTTTCCCTTATTAATATATTACATTCGTATGATAAAGTGTGTTTTTTTAACATCCGTATGTCCTAGACTCTTACGCAATAACACAAACTTCTAAGGGTATGTATGGTTCAAGAAATGTCAGATTACCATGAGAATGTCAGATTGTTGGGCATGTTATATTGATGGGAATGTATTCAATTGATTCCCATTTGTGTTTGGTTAAATCAAGGGAATGCGTCATAATTTATTTGGTTGAAAGATATATTATGTGGCAGATATGATGAGTTATTTTTATACCCTTTAAATCTATAACTCTTATAACACAAATAGCTTAAAAATTTAAATGTTAAGGCAAAAAAATATGCAAATAACAAGAATAGACATCGAATATAATTAATACTTTGTTTGTCCCAACTAAAAGGTTGTTACACAATTTACGATGTTCGACTGACCATGAAACTAACCGATCTCTGTCAATAATAAGATTATTTTTAGTAAATAAAATTTACATATTTAGACCCTACATTAAAAGTTTTATAAAGTCACAAAAAATTGAATTTGATAACAGCTGAATATGTAAAGAAATTAAATTAAAAGAGATATTTAATTGAGGGTATTTTCAGAAGAAAATTAGATCACCCCGAGAATGTGAGATAACCTAAGACATGGATGGGTTTAACATTCCCCTCCATATAACATTCCCGGGAATGTAACTTTCTTGATTTTTCTTCAAACCCGTGAACCAAATAAGGGTTTCTAACGTGCATCATATTCCAGTCTTCATGTGAGATTACCCCAACCACACGGGCCTTCAAATAAATATTCTTGATTCTGACTTGACGAGTATAAAAAACGGGTCGAGTTGATCCATCTAAATTGACGAATTGTTTGGAGGAAGGAGAAAAGGCATTTAATACATGGTTAGGGGGAACCGAGGGGGGTGTGCGTAGTGTATATGGAAATTGATTTTCAAAAAATACAACGTGACGAGAAGTGTATATTTTTTTGGTGAAAGTATCCAAACATAAATGAGCGTGGTGAACAGGAGAAAAACCAAGGTAGACGCATGGACTAGAACGGGGTTGTAGTTTATGAGTGGTATACGGACGGAGCCAGGGATAACATAAACAGCCAAAAACTTTTAGTGACACATAATTGGGGGTATCACCAAATAATTTAAAAAATGGACTGTTATTCTGTAGAGTGGGTGTAGGTAAACGATTTATGAGATACGTGGCATATTGAAAGGTGTGTGGCCAGAAAGATAGAGGAACAGATGCATGAAAGAGTAATGTAAGGGCTGTTTCAACAATATGACGATGTTTTCTTTCAGCGGATCCCACATGTTGAGGAGTATATGGAGGGGAGATAAGATGTTGAATACCATGCTGAGTGAGAATAGGTGCTAGGGCAGAGAATTCACCACCGCCGTCCGTATAAAGTGTTTTAATTTGTGTACCAAAATAATTTTTAATTAAGGTACAAAATTTAATGAACACCGAATAAACATCATATTTGCGTTTGAGTGGGAATAGCCATGTATACTTGGTATAATAATCAACGAAAATAACATAAAATCGAGATTTATTATAACAAAGAATAGGAGCAAGGCCCCATACATCAGAAAAAATATATTGAAACGGGCTAGTACAATTTATTGAGGAAACTGTAAAGGGTAATTTGTGACTTTTAACTCTAAGACAGGAGTCACATGCAAGTGAAGGAGGTGAAGCTCCGGTTATTTGACGTTGAATAGTGGAAGACGGATGACCCAATCTTTGATGCCATAAAGCTGGTGAGACAGTGTTGGCTTGTGGTGTGAGAGTGGACCAATTATAGAGATTATTTTCACTCCGGCCTCGGGCCAAGGATGCCCCCGTGATTAGATCCTTCACAACAAATGCATTGGGTGAGAACTCAATAGATGTATTATTTTGAGTACAAAATTGATTAACTGAAAGGAGATTACGACGGATGAGAGGAGCACACAAAACATTTTTTAGTGTAAATTTTGAAACAGGTGAATGAATAACCGAAGACCCGATGTGAGTAATTGGAATAGTCTTACCATTACCCATTGCAACCGAATCTGCACCAGTGTAATCGGAGTGAATCTGAAGGTTGTTGATGTCGGAGGTTATGTGGTGAGTGGCACCGGAGTCAAGCAGCCAGTTAGAAGAATGGCCTGGATCATGGCTTGCTGCAACATGAGCACTAGGATGGCTTTTGTAAGAATAGCATGACTTGGCAGTATGGCCAAACTTGTCACACAATTGACATTGCATAGATGAACCATATGATGAACGATTGGAGCCTCCAGAGGATGTATCATGGGAGGCTTGAGGACCAAACCCAGAATGGTGCGGCATGCCGGATTGACGTCCACGGCCACGGCTTCCACGGCCACGTGATGAAGGACGTCGTTGAGTGTACTGAGCGGTGATAGGGACATCAAACGCAGCTGGTGAGTCACCATTGAGAAGTTCGGCATCTTGCAGGTAGTGGCGAAGATCTTCAAAAGAGGGTGGTGTAGGCTGGATACGGAGAGCACCAACGAGATCTTTGAATTCATTCCCGAGACCACCAAGAACATACGAGGCAATTTGTCCATCACTGGGAGGGTGACCGATAGTAACAAGATCATCAATGAGTGTTCTTAAAATGTTCATATACTCAGTGACGGTTTTTCCAGCCTTTTTGGTGTTCATAAGCGTGGAGAGAAGAGATAACATCCGAGTGGTGGATGTGTTGGCAAAACTAGATTCAAGTTTTTGCCAAGCATTGGCAGATGTGGTGCAGGAATTGATAATGGGACAAATATTATTTGTCACAGTGGATTGGATAGCAAGGAGAACAAGACGATCTTGTCGTTTCCAAAAATTGTAGTTTGGATCAGTGGAGGCCGGACACGGAGTGGTGCCATCAACATAGCCTAAGAGATCATTACCAAAAAAGAGATTGGTTAACTGGGATTTCCATGATGAATAATTAGAGCCATCTTTGGAGAGTTTGGTGGGAATTTGGGAGGAAGCATTTAGGGAGATTAGTTGTGGAACTGTATCAGAAGGAATAAGGTTACTGGAAGGAGATGGAGAAGACATGTTGATTAATTGCTAGGCTGCCGAGAGAAAAAAAATTATAGGATCAAATCAATCTAAATGATTGAGGGCTGTGATACCATAAAGAGATTTTGGGAAAATAAGGCTTAGCCTTTTGATAGCTATAGCCACGTATTTATATAAGTTAGGGAGCATGTTTAGCTCTCCTATTTACAAGGAATACAAGTACAGTATAGATAAGTACAAGTAAATATTAAAGAGATAATTACAAATAATGAATAAATAATATTAATCTATCAATAACTACTGTAAAATTATAAGATAAAAGCATTTCTTAACATGCATTGTTATGATAATAGAAAAAATTATCCTAGGTATGACTAAAACTCCAGAATCTCCCAATCTGTTACCTAGCTAGTTTTATTTCCAAAATAATATTTAAATGTCTAATATTTAATTAATTTCGTAATTAATAAATAGATTAATTAATTTCATGGACTAATGTACCATTTAGCATATGGCTAACCCTAATCTTCTACTCATTTTCTCTAACCCTAACCTCTCTTCTCCAGCCGCACACCCGCCTCTCACAACCACCGCACACCCGCCTCTCGCCATTGTCCCACTGCACGGCCTCCTGCCACTGTCGTCTAGCTACGCGGCCGTCTTTTCGCCGCTCAGGAGTCACGTTGCCGAGTGGCACATGATTTGGAAGCGTCACAACTCACCTCATGCACGATGGCTCACTCGGAGGTTGTCGATGACCTCACACCTGTGCAGAGATGGCCGGAGAGCCATGTGCACCGCCGGCGTCCCAAGCCCTACCCACCACCAGGCGCTGCCCTTCGTCCCTAACTAGCTGTCGCCGTTATCTAACTGCACGGCCGCATACCAACTCGCTGTTGCCATCTAGCCGCACGACGACCGTCCACTTCCATGGGAGAAATAGGATGACTCGCAGACTCCTCATAGATGAACATTTGAATTAAAATTAGGTGTGTATTTTTTCATAAGTTCCTACATGGCCCAGCCCATACTTCAATTGTAATAGTGGGTAAAAATTGGAATAATTGGGTGTAGATAAACAACCAATTTAATAGTGACGAGGAT